AGGGTGAACATCAAGAAATATATAGAGGGATGAAAAGAAAAGCGATGCGTGGCCTGTTTCCAGGTTGAAACTTGCTCCCCAATTTTGCATCTATAAGTTATCAGCATATAGTAATCGATATTGGCTCTCCAATTCGATTTCCCTGGCCGAAAATTGGTTCCCATTAAGTATTCAGCACCATCCAAATCGTGTGAATTGCATGCGGGCATGATGCGGGGTATACCCTATGAATGTCGGGGGGCCTTTCCCAGCTTGGCCACAGGGCTACCCCACCCTCTCTCTCTCTCTCTCTCTCTCTCTCTCTCTCTCTCCTTTTCCCCCTCTCTCTTCTTTTCTTCCCTTGTCGGCAGGCTGAACTTGCTGTCCTCGCCGGCAAGGATTAGACTCCTCTAGTTACTATTGTCTTAGGCTGGCATTTATAATTGATTCGTGCTGGATGCATTCTATATTTGCATTCGCTATTCTCCATTGCGTCACAGAACGGGCACGACCGTCGCGACGGCACGACACTCCTATGAATTGACTGGCAGCATTGGTCCCTCAGCATTGCACAGGAAGGTATATTTACCACGAGACAGACACAAAGACAGACAGTGAGGCCGTTGGACAGACAGACAGACAGTTGGACAGACGGACGGGCCGCGCTCACCCCCGAACGTTCCCCATGGGACTTCCCTGTCCCTTCCCGTTCCGCCCTGCAGTTAGTGCAGCCCCAAGAGAGGCCCTTACACTGCCGACAAACTCTGACTTCCGTCTCAAGACCGCGATAGATGTATACTTCTTTGCTCGAATGAAAACAGTGGTAGTGGTGAGAGATACAGTGAGAAACACGGTGACGGCGAGATGCAGTGAGGGACAGAAGGGCACAGAGATCGCGATGCATGAAAGACAATGAATCTAGACGGATGGTGCAGTTATGGAAGAGGCAGTGAGAAAGAGGCGAGGTGAGATCATGTTAGACACTGAGGTGCAGTGAGAAACAATGGTAGAGACGAATGGAGTGAGTCAGTGATAGACGCTGCTGTGAGAGACAATGGGAGAGTCATGTGCAATAAGACATCAGCGTTAGACACTGAGATGCAGTGGCAATCCCCGAGGCAATGACAGTGATGATGAAGGCAGTGATAGGACAGGCAATCACATAGGCTTCTTCTGCGATAGGCTCAACGAGACAGCGAGATTCAGTGAGAGACAATGTGTGAGGTAGTGTGACAAAGATGATAGAGGGGGTGTCACTGACAGCGAGCGAGGCAGTTACCTGGGGTGCTCCTGGGACGGCTGGTGCATCCACGCCCTGGAGCCGGGCTCCTCCTTGAGGGGCCGGTGGTGGTCGCGGTGGTCCCGGTGGTCGCGGTGGTGGTCGAGGCCGAAGGACAGGTGGTGGCCCTGGTGGTGGCCCAGCATGCCGTGGTGGCCGGCGGCCTCGTACAGCTTGCGGCCGGCGCCGAGGCCCGAGCCCAGCCCGGAGCCGAGGCCCGAGCCGAGGCCCGTGCCCAGGCCCCACACCGGCTCCAGCTCCATGACGCCCCCTACGGCCCCAGCCCAAGGGCTGGGCGGCGGGGCGGCGACGGCGGCGGGCAGGGTGGCGGCGGTGGCACTCCTGTCGTCTTGTCCCTCTCTCTCGCACTCACGGTCAGGTCGGCGCGTCGTCTCTGTCTCTACTACACTCGCATGGCGTGGTGAGGCTCGTGGCGCGCAGGGAGGCGGCGGGGACGCGCGGGTGCGTGCGTGGTGCGCGCGGGGAGGCTGTCTGCGGGAGACTGACTGGCTGGCGCTGCGCTGCGGCGCTTGGCGCTGCTCGCTGCTGAGCTGGCCCCTGGCCTCCGCCACCTCCTCCCCACCGCCGCCGGCACCGCAGAGCGCGCACACCGCCCCCACCCTCGGCCCTCCCCTCCTCTCGCTTACCGCCGGCCCGCCCTCTCCGTCGCGCCGGCCCCACACACGGAGAGAGTGTAGCACTTGCAATATCCCTTAAATTTAATTTCTGCGACATCTGCAATTTATACTGCGTTGCTCTCGTGTCCTAGCCATGTTGTTTGTTGCCCTGGGTATCTAAAATTGTGCTAAGGTAAGGATCTTACCGTTAATATCTCTGGAAATCCGAGACTGTACTTGAATGCAGTACCTCCTGCAGACCTACATGTATGCAGGAGCTACTGTGCACTTAGCAAGTATGCAGGGGGTAGTGTGTACCTGGACAAGTATGCAGGAGGAGGAGTGTGTACTTGGTCAAGTACACACTAACACCTCCATACATTTATGCAGGAGATTCAGTGTACGTCTACTGCCTCCTGCATACTTACCAAGTACACAGTGCCTCCTACATACAGGGTGGCTTACAGGCCCCTTCCTTTATTTTGCTTAGACTGTACCGCATGCAGGCGAGCGGACGGGTTACAAACTCGCACGGGGCCGTAAGGCACCGTGGTGAGCGACGGTAGGCAAGCCAAGCCCGCACGCACGCCTCATGCGGTACAGTATAAGCAAAATAAAGGAAGGGGGGCCTGTAGACCACCTTGTACTGTACATGTAGGTATACAGGAGGTACTGCATTTAAGTAGACACTTGGGTTTCCAGCGATGGCAACAAGAAAGTTTCAGCTTCTGCTGTAAGTTTGCAGGCGCTGAAGCACATTTACAGCTGCAAAGGCAAATTTTACTGCTCAGGAAAAAAAATCAGCTGCGGCAGCTCTTGCAGCTGTTTGTCTCCTACACCGCGGCGTCGCGAACAGGCTCACCAGAGGCCTTTTCGTCTGTGGGTTAGAAATGCGGACCAAAGACACAAGCAAAACTTAAAATCAGGGGTACATATCTGAGCTAGTCATGCTTCATTTATGAAAAGCAATTAATAAAATCTGACGTAACAGTTAAGGTTGTTGGTCGCCGAAAATCATCTAGTGATTCTCAGAATCGATCCGACACACTGAGTCTATAAATTAACGTTTCAGTAGTCGCTCATATAAGTTAAATGTTTTAGCTTCAGTGGTAATCATGAAAATTAAACAAAATGCATCAACTCTGGCACGTAAGAGAATTAATGCAGACTCTGCTAATCCTGCTAATCTAAGTGGAGAACAGTTTTCCACTTGTAAGTGGCAAACTTTTGCTCCCCCCCTTTTTCTTTAGAACTAAAACGGTCGCTACTGATATGTAGAACTTAAAAGTATTCCGCTTACAATTATTGGAGAAATAAGGAGTTCATCACTTTTAATACCACAGAACTTCTTGATCCTGAGCGGTTTTCGGTCGTAAAAGCAACGAAGTTTCTGCACAAATTTTTAGCAGTCATAGGCCGCTTTATAGACACTAAACCGAAAACTTCTTTAGCATCCAAGAAAAGGCACGACGGCACGACTAAGCACCATTGTTTTTCCAGACAATATTTCAAACACCAAATTACTCGACGCTCCGTGTTCTTACCGAAAGGTGCAATATGAGTTGCAAAACCGAAATCATTTAACTCGTTAGGACTGTATTTTTTTCCAAAAACCGAAATCATTTAACTCGTTAGGACTCTGACTTTTTCTGATAATCTGACTTTGCGTATTGTTGCTCTAACAGTCATCTTCGTTTTTTAATAAAAAATGCTTAGTTTGGAAAAATTAATGAACTAATCTTCGTTCTAGCGAGCCAAATTTTTGCAGTTCTAAATTTGGCAGGTACTTGTCGCTATCCTGTTGTTAACTGGGTCGCCGTGCCGCTGTACGACGTCTACCTTACGATCGTTATGGCCCCCTGCGGTAAACGAACACCCAAGCCGTTGTTGGCTGAGCCGTGGGGGTCCGGAGCGGCGCGGAGGCAACGTCCCATTCTGCTTGCCTAGGGTTGCCTGCTTTGTGGCTGCTGGCTGGCGATGAGGCCATCCAAAGCCTTGCCGCCCCCTCTCTAATGGATGTGGCGGGGCGCGGCGGGGCGTGGCGGGGCGCGGCGGGGCGCGGCGGGGCG